TCTGCAGTACTGGTCTGGGCCCATGAGCAAAGTAATATAATGTAGTCTGTTCAAGATTCAATATAATAAGTCTGCAAAACACATTCCAGCAACTGTAATTGAAGCAGAATGAATTGTAGTGAACTGCATTTGTATTTTTGTTGTGTCTGTGAAAAATAATAAATATACCTACCTATTGGAAAAATCGTGGCCTTTCAGCACATTTGGCAGAGTTGTGTGACTCTGATTTAGTGGCTCATGTGGAACGCAACGAGCTGCGGAACAAGCTTGAATAGCATTTTGCCTCAGGGCTATCTGCCAGAAACATTTCATCTGCATAAATTTGCCTACAGGCAAGTCTGACAAATTTGTGGATTAACTGGGGTCCTTGTAAGCCTACATATTAAATTCTAGCCCACCAGCTCAGCCCTATTCTCATTTTCAGCATTCAGCATGATAACAGTTCTGATCAAGTTCTGATTGTCACCACTGAGACACCAATGGAGTCCTCTGAAATTTTGCCTTTTTATTAGATTATTTGTAAGAGTTTCAGCTACATTTACATAGACCAAACGTTTCACTCTCAAAGATCTGCGACCCACCCCACTCGTCCAGTAGGATGCCTGGCGCGCAAACAGTCCAGCAGTGAGCTGCCAGCCGGTACGCGGGGCAGCAGCAGGCGGCGGCAGCAACAGAAACTAGTGAACATGTCTTGGACTGCAGCCACGACATGATCTCGGCTAGCATCTATTCAATTTGTCCATGTACAAGTACCACAGCTCCTGCCCGAGGTCGCGCAAGTCAGGGAACTGACCACCTCCAGCCCAGGTGTGGTTCACTGACTCAAGACATTTCAACTGACCAGTCAGAGTTCATGTTTTGCAACTTTTATCCGAGTTATTTGTAATTGTAATATTATAAACTGAATTTTAGGCATGACTTCATTTTTCAAGAGCTACACAGAACACGCCTTCCCTGTACAGCACGCCTATTGTCCTAACAGTAGTCAAATAGTTGCAAGAAGCGACTTGAATGCGGAACCTGCCTGTTTTGAAGCCCTGTTGTCTGTTGGGTGACACTGCACAGAGGTAAGGATGGGGTGTGATTTTGCTGCTGTTCGTCAGGTGCAATATGTGTGTCAATGATCACAAAGTACTCTTAAAGGTTTAAAAAATGCACAGCATGGCCTAACAACGCACATTACCTAGGTTTTGACAAGCAGCGCAGCGACTGTGGTACAAAGGCCCAGTCCCATGCTCATGTTAGTAGCTGGATCTGCTCCCAGGAAACAAAGGTAAAACACTATTGACAGCTTTAAGATGAAATCTGCAGGAAAACTAAGCCATCTATAAAATCTAACATAAGCTTAAAAGCGCAACAGAGCATTTCTGATTCAACGTGCAGCACTTCCGCTTTCATCCGCCATCAGCAACTCAGTTCAAAGAATGATGCATTACATCACTAAAATTTATTTCAAAATACCTCTGCATGGTGTTAACACAAACAACAGTTCTTTACTAGACATGGTCGACCTCAGGCCACCCACACTTCAGCAAACAGGGTATTATCAATGTTTAACGGCTCAAGGTTAGTCGTCTTGGATGTTCAGAAATAAAAAGGTGAACATTCATTGTCTCTTCCTTAGTTGTCACCATCAATAGATTGTGGACTCCTCAGAGCCATGTCTTGATTATGGAGTTGAAACAGCAGTGAGCAAATCATTTTGATTTATGATTTTGATACTATGATTAATTTCAGTGAGTTGCACACTTGAACTTGACACCTGCCATTGATAAGTTCATGGCTCTTGCATTCTTCAGTCACATGTAGGACGGCCTGTTAAATATTTAAATACAAAAATATAAATACTGCTAGAATTAGAAGACTATTAGAATTAGTTTGGCATATCAATTTAATTCTCCACCTCGTGGCGCCGGGCGCTGTTCCAAGAGGCGTTGTTATTTTTCAAGGTTTCGATAAAAACAAGTCGACAGATACAGAAACTTCGGAAAAGGCGGAAACGTCACAGGTTTTAAGTGCCAATACCAATACATTGTGGCACTTATTTGCACAGATGTCAAAATCAAACACAAATTTCTTTGCGATGAAGTAATTGCTGGAGAAACGGTTTTCACGGCTCTGATTTTCAAAGAACGCCCATCAAGATGGCTATCTCAGCTCAATTCTAATGTTAAGGTGGGACAGTCCCTTTAAATGAATCACAATCTATCAACCAGGCTGGAATAAATGCATAAAATATTTGCTGTGAAGGAAAAAAAAGAGCACCATAGCAGTAACAATCAGCTCAGAAGCTGTTTGAAACAATTACTAAACACTGTTTAACTTGCATGTGGCTGTAATATTTTTTTATAAATTTAGTTCAAATGTATAAATGGACGGATTGACAGAGCCGGAGCCCACGCTAAGCAGAGCTGGTTGCGTAGACCCCGACCCCTACCGTCCGATCGCGCAATTCCCGGTAACGGGAGAATTTTAATGCGGAAGTTTAACGTGCCCTTCAAAGCCGGACACGGCCTGTTCCACTCAACTGACTTCAACTGGCTGCGGTTGCTCCCACCAACCGCAGACCATCCCCGTCAGGAGTCTCTAATATCGAGCGCCGGAGCGTCTCGAACCCGGGCTCTCACTACCGGGAGTCCGATGCTCTACCAACTGAGCTACGGGACAGGCTATATGTGAACAGAAAATACAACTTACACTTCTGGAAAGGAAGTCAGCAGTGGTGCATTAGCCAATAACAAATATATGGTGTTATAATTCTAAATTATCTTTCAGTATGGCCACCATACCTGTAGATCATATGAAGTCCATAACTACAGTCAGCTGTATATATTTAATTTATCAGTAGACATAAAATGCCACTAATTACTTAACCTAACCAAACATCGGCTGTATAATTCAGTCACATTCAGTTGGCTGGGGAGCAATGTTCTACCACTCAGCATAGCTTCTAAACTAGAACACAAGAGTAACCCATAACCATCATGTATAAACCTGAGATCCCTTGATCACACAGGGAAGTGGTTCTGCTGAGTTCAGCAAGTGTCTGTGGGCCATATATTTGGCGAAAGACTGTCATTGTTAACCCATATTGGGGTTCACAACAATGTGAGGTCAGAATAGATCACCAAATGGCCAAAGAATCAACTTTTTACACATGAAAGACAACCTGGCAATGATGGCAAAAAACATTTAACATAACAAGGTTGTACAAGTACTTGTTTACCTCGCCAGGTGCCCAAGATATTGCAAGTTGCAACTGCTAGGGTTCAGACCAGCATCACAATCAGTCAAACTTGAACTCTTTTGAGACTCTTTTGATAACAAGTACATGTCTTGATTTTTCAATTTCATAAGTCACTTTACAATGTTAAAGTAAAGTCCATTATAACATCATGAACATTATCAAAAAATTGGTCAGTTTAGCAATACACTCAACTTGAAGATGTACCAACCTTTTCATCTTGGGAGTAACAAACTAATTCATCATTCTTATCTGTTAGCTCTTAATAAACATGGAATTGGACACTCACCAAGTTCAGACACTGCATTACTGGATATGACAAGAGACCAAAAAACTCAATGGGCAAAAGGCTCCAAATCCAACAGAGCACAACAATATTGGAGTGTAAGTTGCTACACTATGCCAAGAGAACAATGGACATTTATTACACAAATTTTGATGAAGCACCATATATGTGAGGGAGCCTAGATGATTAAGTAGGTGCCTACAATCAGGGTGAGTACACAGGTACCTACAATCATTACCAGAAAGCTAGGCCTCAAACAATGCAAAAGTCCAAAAGATAATTAAAAGGCATGCCTACTTTTAGTACTTACCCTCACAAAAGGCTTCATGCGCGTCCGGCGAGCAATCTTCTTCTTGCTCATTCCCTTCCTGACCTGGCGAGGATATCTGTCGATGCCAGCCACAAGGCAGTGTCCATAGGGCCTGTCAGTGGTGCCTTCATCGTTGCTCTTGACAATGATTCCCTTGCGACCAGCAAAGCGGCCACTCAGCAAAATCACCACCTTCCCACCTTTCATAATCTTCCCCATGGTTCTGAAAAAGAGCATGTAACCGTTAGCAACAGTGCCTGATAATGCAAGTAGCTTCTGCAAGCCAGAAATTGATCAGTGGCCAATTTTACCAACAGAAAAATAGCTGCCTGCCTGAATTTCTTGCCTAAAAACTGCTTCACGTACGGAATGCAAATGCGATGGGCACATAAGCGCGTAAGGCTTTACCATTTTCGCTCTGTGTGTGTGAAGCAGTCTTTAGTCAAAAATTCCAGCAGGTGGCTCTTTTCTGTTGGTAAAACTGGCATCAGCACTAAATAACAAAATCTTCATGTCATTCTTCAGAATCAACTAAGTCCACCATATATGTCTCAAAAGCGCATGAAGCGCAAATGTAAATCGAAAGTAACGACGCAAGTCCATAGCTCGCTAAAAACCTTCAAAAGGATCGATGAAGAAAGCATGCCATGCTAGAACCAACGCAAAAATCTATTATCCTAATTAGAAAGCCGAAAATTTGAACATTTTATGATTTGTACTCACGTCGGCAATTGTTGTTACCGGAAAAAGGACGCTGCCGCGTCTCAAAAACACTTTCAAAAGCACAAAGCCACCTGTGCTATGCCCTGAGCTTGTAAAATGCAAAGTTATAAATGGCTAAGTTAAGATGAATTTTCGGCCGTTTTTAATGAGATTATTGTATTCTATTCTTATTTAATTGCAGAAAATTTTTCCATAATCTCATTTTACCTAAGGTAAAATGAGAACCATTTTACCTATTGCTGCCCATTTTCTACCTCCCAAAGTTCCCTTTTTCTGAAACGCTTTATGTTTTTATTACGTCATTAGATTTATGGGAAAATTTATAGAAAAAAACGTTTCGCAGGTGAGTGAACAGAACAATAACTTTTTATTTCAGTCCTTTTTTGCCCATAAAAATCGTAGAAGTGTAACAGGACGGTTTGAAACCGCATTTATTGAAAAAAAAAGTCGAAGCATTTAAAAAAAGGAGGAGCTGATTGGCTTTCGGTATCTGTCGTCAAAAGATAAGGATTTGAGCAACATGTTTCGTTTTTACTATACCTTGAGAGGAGGTCTAATGAATTGATAAATTGAATTTTACACGCACTTGTGTTAAAATTTTAAATTGAATCACGTGCTTGCCGAGCTGGCATTGGGGTTGGGTCTGCAGCTGGAATTCACTGGAATTATTGGTATTTCAGTAAGTTGAGTCATATATGCCCTTGATTAAGTTCCTCCGAACTGACGTTAACGATTTACACATTTTTTCTGAAAATAAAACATTACCTTCCTTGAGTTCACACTTCACTGCCTGTAAGTGACGTTGATGATGATGGTTTGACGTGGGTTTGACGGTTTCCTGCCTCTCCTCATGCACCAGTAATTAAGGAAACCCAACAGGTGAGTTGAACAGGTTGAGTTGAGTTAATGGAAATGCCTATCAGAATTCAGAACAGAGCTGCAGTCTTTTGGATTCAGATTTCGGAGTCTGTCTGAGTCGACATTTTGGCGGCACTTCTGAATCTGATTTGTCCCACTGGGACAGGCCGAGTCCCGTTGTGTCCCGCTGGGACCGGCTGAGTCCCACTTTGTCCCGCTGGGACCGGCCGAGTTCCATTGTGTCCCGCTGGGACCAGCGGAGTCCCATTTTGTTTCGCTGGGACCGGCTGAGTCCCACTTTGTCCCGCTGCAGTCGGCTGAGTCCCACTTTGCCCAGCTGGGACCGGCCGAGTCCCATTGTGTCTCGCTGGAACCAACCGAGTCCCACTATCTCCCGCTGTTTTCGGCTGAGTCCCACTATGTTCCGTTGAAGTCAGGCAATCCTTTGTGTGACGTCTGCTCTACTAATACCCACAGTGTTTTGTGTTACGTGTGCAGTTTATGTCGTAAGATTTCCTGCGGTCGCTTTCGAGCAGCTGTGGGAGCTACAGGAAGTGTGAGGTCATACCCAGAATGCTGCTCTTGCCAGATTGGCTGCCAGACGTAAAGCCCAGTTTTCTTTACCACCGGAGCCATGACGCCCGCAGACACTGGAACAGGGCCCTGGAGCCACAGAAAATCCATCAACTCCATGGGGCCTGCCATGGGTGTAGAGCTTGAGTCGGTTGAAGTTGACAGTGTCATTGCTTTAACCTTGCACAGCAGCAAAGCTGGAGTTGATTTTTTTCAGGCTTGAGTGGGAGTTGGAGTCTGAGTCACCAAAAAATCCATTGAGTATGTAGCAATGACCAGAAGAGCGAATTTCCACCACTGACTGACGGATTGTTGGTTGACAATTGGGATGTGGCTGCTATGAGTTTGGGAGAGTAGGAAATACAGGGCAACAGCCCAATCCTGATAAATTTTGAACAGTATCAGTCACAGTGGTACCTTTTCAGGCAGGTGTCATACATACTTGTGTGGATATAGCTGAAGGCTGGTGATGAGCGTTGGCCTCAAGACGAGCTCCAGACTTGAGTTATGTCAGTTTAATTGCTGTCATCCGGGGCTATTTTGATATCTGCCTTCTCTAATAGATGTTGCCCAAATTGCCAGACCTAGTGGCTAGGGAAAAGTTACGGATTTTTCTTAGGAATTTCTCAGTGTGCTGGAGTTTTCAAAGTTCTGTCAGGAGTCTGAGTCACTGTGCCATCAGTTGCAGACATGGGAGTCAGTGGCGCCTGATTAAATTCTTAAACCTGGAAAGTATTCAACAATGATTACTTCCTATTTTTTTTTTTTAGCTAGGAATCAGTTTAAGCACCCATATTTAAAACAATAACCATGTCATTGCCAATCCTTTTACTAACAAAGCCATTTCTTCCCACAGTAATTGACCATGGAGGAAGATTTTGGCTTTGTTCCTCGTGGTAGAGGACGGGGGATGATGCGTGGACGTGGCAGGTAGGTTTGATGTTATCATCAGCCTTGTTTGGATCTTGGATTTTGGTTGTATTCATATGTGTATCTCTAGGCTTTTTTTGTGTTATGCTGCAATCACGGGAAATAAGTACGTCTTCTACCAAGTATCTACCATCCTGGAATATTGCTATGGTTTGTCAATCAGGAGTTAAAGGCTTAAGGTTTTTATGCAGGGTCAATATCCATTAAATGTGCATATATTGGTTATGTATTCTGTACATTTCGTCAGTTAATTATATCAGCCCATTTCCACTGATCTCGATGACGCGGGTGCTGTATGTCCCGGTATCTGAATACCCCCTCGTCTCGCTCTCCAGGGGCGGCGGCTACCGCGGCGGTGACCTGGAGCGCGGCGGGTACCGCGGTCGGGGGGAGCGCGGCGCTCGCGGCTACCGGGGTCGTGGCGAGCGCGGTGGCCGGGGCGGCTACCCACCGCGCGGCGGTGGCTACGACTCCCCGCGCGGCTACGGCCGCGGCCGCGGCTACCCGAGCCGCCGTGGCGGGATGGAGCACGGAGACTACGAGCCCATGGACAGCTACGAGCCGGCTCCCTATGAGGAGCCCGCGGCCGAGTACGAGCCCAGAGGCCGCCGGAGCTATGAGCCTCGCGGTCGCGGAGGGTACGAGGGTCGCGGCAGGGGCGGCTATGAGCCCCGCGGCCGAGGAGGCTACGAACCCAGAGGTCGGGGTGGCTACGAATCCCGCGGCCGCGGAGGTGGTTATGAACCCCGCGGCCGTGGAGGGTACGAGCCGCGCGGTCGCGGAGGATACGAGAGTCGCGGCCGCGGTGGCTACGAACCCAGAGGTCGCGGTGGTTACGAGCCGCGCGGCCGCGGCGGCCGCGGTCGACCTCACTTCGAGGACGCCGGCTACCCGGAGGCGCCGCCGCCCAAGCGCGGCCGCTTCGTGGGCGGCGGCGGCTGGGGCGAGTACCCGCCCGAGGAGCGCGGCTACGCGGCCGAGTACGTGGAGGAGCCGCGGGGGTACGCGGCAGAGCCCCGCCCGTACCGAGGCGGGTGAGTACACACAGCATGCGCGCCGCTGTTTGCCACACACACCAGTCACCAACGAATGTGGCAAAACACCATCGCGATGTAGCCTGTGACAGAGTGACCTCGTTTTGTCGCTTCCTGCTTTATTTTGCTTATCGCTCCATTTTTTTAAGCTGCTGCCTTTTCTAGTAATTTGCCGATCTGATTATTTGTTCCTTGCATGATGCAGACTGTTATTTTGCTAATATCACTTTAGTATTTATGTTTTAAAGACTTTCTGCTAACTGGCTTCGTCCTCTTGTCTGTTTTTGCTCACGTTTCTTTTTATTTTGTTTTATAGTTACTCCACCTATGACGCCGAGCCAGTGGAGCCCGGATACGGAAAGCGGTCATAGTGAGTCATATCGCACTTGCTGCATCACATTCGCAGCATATTTTGTTTACCAGTCCTCAGAGGTCTAGCAGCCTTAGCATCGACGCTATTTTTCATTTTGCTTATTTAAGCGACAGCTCCAGCTCCAGTTCTATTAAAGTGTTAGGATATGTTCAGCAACGTTGGCATTCAGATGATTGTGTCGTGAATTGTCTGTAAAGTATGATAATTGATAGATGATATTTATGGTTATTAGCTGTGCCCCGTGGAATTTTATGAGGGTTGAGGACGTTTGATAATTGATATAGTATCCTGTCTCAAGTGACTACATATGCATGTCCTGTTAAAATCGCCTCCTGTCCTTTCATTTCTCGTCTCCCGTCCTGTCTTGACTCGCAGCTCATCCACATTCAGATCACATCCGCCCACACCAGTTCGTATCTCCGATTTGTGCGCCGTGTGCGTCTTTCGTCCGGCTGTTTGCTAACTCGTCTCTGACCCTTTTACAGCGGCGGTGACGACTATGGCGGCGACCGTTACAACGGCGGTTACAGTGAGTACATTTGCGCGCTCCCTGAAAATCACACACTGGACTGTGAATATGTGAATATGTGAACAGAATATGTGAGCATACTCAACTCAACGACCAATAGCATGGGAGTGCTATTAGATCAAATATGTCCTCGCTTGTAGTGCAATGAGTGGACCGTTCATTGAAGTAGTTCCATTAGAAGCTAAAGAGCACAGCCTAGCGTTTGACTCTGTTCGTTGATACGTTCTGTCCATTGTCGCCGGTCACTAACGCTGATTTTTTTTTTTCCACAGACGGCCGGGCGATGGACGACGGCTACTCTAACGGTCGCGGATACGAGGCTGGTACGTATCTCCTCGCCCCGGGGAGGGGAACGATACCCGTATCCTTACCCTAACCCGCAGCGTAGTGAAGGAGAGGGTAGGAGGTAGGCTAGTGAATGCAATCATCGCTTTCAAAGAGTGAGGTGGTTTAGGCCAGTCAAGCAGTACCTATAAGCTCGACTTGACGGTATTTTAGATAGATGACCATTTAGATAGATAGATCACGACTATACGCCGCTTTTTATGCTGTTTTATAATTGTAACAGGATCAATATTCAATAGTCCTGTTCTGAATGCAACAGCATGCCAGCTGTTTTGCCAGTTATCAAAAATTGAATAAACTGGCCACAAAATTGGCATAAAAATGTAAATGATAGGCGCTAGCCAGACAATGATGGCGGCGACGATGGCCCTTGAGGAGAGTTGGGCTACGAATGGAAGAGGTGAATGTGCATCCATGTGATGCAACAGTGATGTTCCAAATGCTGTTATGCATGCTAGAAAAGGTATTATGGCCTAAATTGGTCAACGATCGAAGGAGTGTTTCGGTTGGATAACCTGTTACACATTTTTTTATGTGGAGTGTTGTATTTTTTCAATTTCATAAGGTGTATGTCTTCATTCATCACGCCAAAATTGAGCAGAATTGACCGGCTTGCTATCAGCTGTCAGTAAAAGTCAAAGTAGCTGATTAGATGACTGGTGGGCTTTCAATATGCTGATGTGCTGGAACCATGATAACGTTAAGAAACGGCGTCGACTCATGAACAGTGGATCTGTTGCCTATTGATATAACGATGAATGTCATTAGCCATTGCAGACCGGTACGAGCAGCAAGCTATTCTATGCCGAGCTTTTACCGGTAACGCCGGCTCTGGCCGCTGGAGGCGCTAGTGTAGCTCTTTAGGCGCCCAGCGGAGGCCGAGACGCCATACTGAGGCCTGGCTGACATGTTGTGCTCTCATCTGTTCTAGGTGGCCGTTGGTAGTAGGTTACATGTGCCCAAGGCTGTTGCGCGGGCACGGTAGACCGCTACGGTAGAACGCTGACAAAGGGGCTCCGCACACGCCTGCTAGGCGCTTACTCTAAAGTCGGGTGATTCCCTCGAGAGCGTGAGAGAGGAACTGAGACAGAGAGAAAGACAGAGCTGACGTGTCTAAGCCACGAGAGAAACTGTGACGTACCTATGAGTGGCGTGAACATGCCTGTGAGCTGCGAGACGGGAGTTGACCTTGATGTCTGCGGAGTCTGGAGCTAGGTTCGACGTAGTGCTGTTTTATATGTCGAATTCACTGAGATCCACGTTCATGTACTACTTTCATCTTACCATCTTCGTTAGTGGCCGCCATTCGTTGCTGTTCTTTCTCGCTGGAGAAAGCGAAGGAAAGTAACGGGCGCCCGATTAGTGTTGTAAGACTATCTCATCCTAACCGCGTCATAAAGGTGGATGCGCGAACAATTTCATTTACTGGCGTCAAAACGTTTTCGGTAATTTTACGAAAGGATAATTGTTGCTTTTTCTGTTTCTTCGGTTATAGTGTAAGACATAGCGCGACAAACTTTAATATGTACTTACGGAAATGAAGCCCATCATCAGCGTATTAGTTCCTTCGATGTCAATGTCATTACCTGATTGGTCGCGATCATTGGCATTTCAATGTCTCAATAAAAATCATGACGAACATGTAGTTATTACCAGAAATGCTCAATATTAGATGCATTTCTGAAGGCGATTCCGGTGGCTGAAAGGTGAAGGGATGCTATGTAGTCCGCGATGTATTGGGGAATAGAACTCTCCGAAACCATGTAACTTATCTTGTAGACATTCATGAATATGTGGCGTATGTTTACGAACAGCACTGGTACGTTTTGAAACCATTCGCATTGTTCTGCCTTCATGACATCAGGAACAAGACAAGCGTTACAAAAAGACTAGGCGCTGCAATGCTGGCCGTAGCGAATGTGTCGTTTTTTAGTGTCCCGTGTGTTGAGCGGAGTCTGATGCCGGCGCCGGGTATGACAGCCGTGGGCGTTGGCCGGCGGCGGGTGGGGCTGGCCCAGTGCCCGCCTCTGACGTGTCGCGCAGTAGATTGGTGGCGAGCCAGGCGGGGGAGGCTGAGGCCCCCAGGCGGGGGAGTGGGCCCCCCAGGTGGACCGGGGGTCACCACTGGCCGGCCTCCAGCGCCGGATAGGTAGATCACCGGATGGAGGCGGATTAAACCCAGGTGACCAGAGAGGGTGTGGACGGCTGAGACGCGAGTTAGCTTGCCGTTCCTTCTCAGTTTTGTTCTGGTCTTCGACGACAGATCAATGAATGGTCTCTATTGAGCAAAGCTCCGAGCTCGAGTGTGTGATCTTAGATCGAGATTCCAGACCAATGAAAAGTGATGCACGGAAACGGAGCTCGATTCGATCGCTTCTTCAAGTGATCTTTAGTTGGGTCATGTATCTTATAACGCATGATGATTAGATACCTCATTTCTGTATGAACCTCGTGTGAGCACCAAGCAGCGTTCATGTGGGCCTACCCGGCTGAGTTTGGTCAGGCTAGTGTACTTAATGTCTGTTAGCCGATGCCAAGCGGTAAACCGATGACGTGAAATGAGCGATAACCGGACACACCGAACCGGGTCGTGAAACTGCAGGCTTCTGGCAATGAACAGGAGAGGTCAGCGCAGGGCCCGGTCGCACGGAGAGGGTCAGGAGTGTCAGCACTCAGGACATCGCCAGGTAGGAGTGACCGAGGCTCAGGACGCCCCAAAATACGGATGACTGAGGTTCAAGACGTCCTCAGGTAGGGATGGCGCGGAGCAAGTAGCAATAGGAGCGGCCTGTTGTCCAGGCTGGCCGAGGGCAAATGTCGGTGCTGGACTTACATGGAGAGTAACGTAATGCCAAGGAAGCTGGAAAAGCTCACATTCAACGAAGCATATGCTCGTAATGTGGATTCGTATGCAGCGTAATCAGACGCGACTTTGTTCACTGTTTAACATTAAACTTCAGTATCACAGGTCACAGACTTCTCTATATTCAGAGAAGTCTATGCACTGATCAATGTTCAATGTTTTCTAGCTAGCCAACTCTAGATGAAAGGACTCGGAACCAAATAGTCCGAACAATGTGCTGAGGGTCATTTTGTTTTAGGCATTTTTGGTCAGCTGGAGGAAGCTATGATTTCCTAGGTCAAGTAGTACCCTTTCGATCCTTTCCTGCATGTACTTTGACTTTCGTTCTCTTGTTATGAGGCATCAACTTGATAGTAAATATATTACGCTTCTTATCTCTTGAAAATTAAATGATCTTTTGTAGACAACAGATTTTCACCGAACGCATTAACTATCACCTATCGAACGTTATGTCTTCTTCTCCGTCACTCTTGTCTTTGTGAATTGACCCCACCCAGCTCCGCCACCGTTGACCGAGGTCTGGTGATCAGGCTGACGGGTCAGGTCAGGGTCTCGTGTGACCTGACCTGACCTGACCTGACCGGCTGGATGATGACGTCCGTCGGCTAACCGCCGCGCTGGTGACCTGGCCTGGCCGGAGAGGACAATCACAGGTGAGACAGGGTGTGGGGGCTGGTGGTCCGGAGAACGGTGTTATCTGACGGTGGTGGTTATTTGTCTGATGTTTTTGGTACCTGTCTTCCCTGTGATGTCTATCTGGCCCTCTGGTGATGCTTAGACACATATCCTGTCACTAGCGCCACAGTAATAACATCGAACACCGTGACGCCAATACTAGGTTTGCCGCCGACTCACCATAATGTTCCCGTCACTGTTGGTCGTAATACCCCTCTCTTTGACAAAGCTGGATCCGAATCATCTTTGATCTCATTCAATAACGGTGGTGACGGTCGAAGGCATCGTTTGAATACCTACGCTTTATAGTGAGAGGACCTGTAGTCTCGTCAAGCTAGATCCCTGACCCTGACCTAATCGATGGACTCCTGTCACCCGCCGGCGAGCCCTGACCCGCCTGCCAATAACACCCCTGACGTGCCAACCAGTGTCAACCTGGCCCACCGACCAATAACACTCCTCACACCAAATAATAACACCCAGACACGCTGACCAGATGCACCGTGACACATCCGTCATCCAAGCAATAAAACCCTGTCCCACCGACCAATAACACCCCGACAGTGACCGACACCCTCCAATAACACCCTGACACCCTCCAATAACACCCTGACACCCTCCAATAACACCCTGACACCCTCCAATAACACCCAGACACCCTCCAATAGCATCTTGACACGCCTGTATATAGCATCCTGACGCAACGACCAATCCACGACACTTTTGACACAACCGATTGACAGGAAGCGAGCCAGACCGGCCGCTGGCCAAGGCGAACCAGCCCTGTACCACTTTATTTCACTCTCAACTAACGATCCTGGTTGATTTGACCTTGTGCAATGGGCTCAATTGTTGATCTCCGCTACAGCCACAGCGATAGCCATGAACCCTTGGTCCTCCCATGCGACAGTGTTGTAGTAAACGGTAACTTCAGACGAGTCTACGATTTGTGTATTTTAGAGTGTCCTTGAGCCTTGTTACCATGTGAGAATGGTTTACAATTCCGCTGGCGTGTTGTACAGACTGCATGTTAGCTAGCGACGCTATTCCGGGTAACTTTAACAATATCGACCATGAATCAGACCGTGCGGCTCAATGAATGTTTCGCGAGCCTCGCGTGTAAGACATCGACCGAATTGTAAATGGGCTCCATTGTCACGCTATTTGCATGCTGTGGAGAGGCTCGGTTTTACCGCGTTAGTATTACTGGTTGTATGGATGGTATCAGATTTACTCGTACCGAGGCACGCCACTGCCACTACCGGGATGTGTTCCTCATTGAGTGATGGCTGTCTGATTGCAGGATTCGGGCGGCTTGCGTCTGCCGGCACCTGAGCTGGCGGACCAGACCACCCAGCGGGGGGACCGCGGACGGTCCTGGACCGGGACCACACGGTGCGGTGACACACCAGACGACCAGAATCGGGACCGGACGGTCCCGGTCGCCTCAGCAGAGGTTGGGACGATTGTGTTCATGATTCAAACTACGCGAGAGCGCCAATAGACTACATGGCGCTTAAAGAAATGTATGTTTTAGAATTCTTATTACGGAGCGAGCGAAGCGAGCGTAGTCTTTCCTTATTAACGGAAATTTCTGAGTATGAGCGGCCGGCCGGCCGGCCGGCCGGCCGGACGCTTTTGCGAGGCTTATATCTCAGCAACCACTCGACCGATTTACATGCGATAATTTTTGTAGGGTAGCTTCATTCCTTCTACCAAGTATTGGGCTATTCCTCATGCATGTGGGTGACCCCTTTTGCACGTGCCACGTGCAAAACGAAGAGGTGTCAGTTTTGTAATTGTTGCAATATCTCTGTAACTACTTGGCCGATTGCGCTGAAAGTTGGCATGTAGGTAGGCACCCACTAGGCACTGCATATCCATGTGCCAGAGTTGGGGTGCTGCTGCACGTGCGCACGACGTGCAGGGGTCGTTTCCAGATCTCGAGAACGGCTCGACCGATTGCGCTCAAATTTGGCACACAGTTAGGGACCGGTTAGTAGGGTGCCGTGCACAAGTCAGTTGGGACCCATTTTGCACGTGCGCACGTGCAGGGTGCCGCTTCCAGACCTCGAGAATGGCTGGGCCGATTGTGCCCAAATTTGGCACATCGCTAGAGACCGGTCAGTAGGGTGCCGTGCACAAGTCAGTTGGAGGTAACCCCTCGCAATTTCGCACGTGCAAGGCCCACCCTCTCGCTCGCTCCGTTAGTCGCCCCAAAAGGCGTTATACTGGTGAACTAATGTCTTTCATTCATTCATTCGTTCGTTCGTTCGTTCGTTCGTTCGTTCGTTCGTTCGTTCGTTCGTTCGTTCGTTCGTTCATCCATTCATTCATTCATTTTCCCATTCCAGTTATACCTTTAGGTTAATTTATCTGCATTACTTACGTTGCCAAACGCTCATGTTTACCGCTATGTCCGTAAGACCCGCTGAGTGCTCATGTCAAATAAACATTTCGAAATCATTGACCCGATTCGTTTGAGATCTATGAGCGCTGAGAATGTTCGGGCAACTGCGCAGCGACTATTCCGAGGCAAATGTGACCCAACAGCAGGATTGCGTTCGATGCAGGATTGGAGCTGAATGCGCCATTGCCTGCGAAGGGGGGAACGCTAATGCGCCTCCGACTGGCTGAACTCACCGGATGAGTGTGGGGAGGTCTGGCACGCCCCGGCGCCTGGCGACGACCGAAACTCGAGGTGCAAATTCGGCTGCCTTTACTGAACTTGGCTACCGAGGATGAGCCGTTATGTTTCTACGTGATTGGTGTCATATATAAAGAGTGCCATAGAAAGAGGCGTCGACGGGATATGAGCACTCTTAATACACCGTGCTGACTAGCCAAGGGATGCTTGCCCGCACTGCGAATACCACCCGCCAATTTACATCTCTCCGATGTCGACACGTGGGCACTGATTTGTGAGTATAGCTGTCAAACCGCGCCTCTGCGCTAATCAGAGGAGTCCCACTCAGCACTTGGCAGCTGGCACGCTCACGAACGTCCGACGTCCGTTGCCCGACATTGGAATCTGTCTTCTCACAGAATCTAAACACAGCTGCTGCAGTGTTATGCGGATGGGTTTGAACTTTGAATCGATCGGTGCTTCATTCGAAGACAGCACACATCGCGTACACAAAGTTGCGCATCCTGTTTATGAGCGCATTTACCATTTATGAGTGTGGAAACTGAGCGAGAATCATATACTCGCCTCGTCTGTCGGTCGCTACCTCGGGTCAGCAGGCAACCGGTCGGATGCCGAGTCGTGACCGGAAGAGGTAGTCAGGTCACATCTAACCCCACTCCCTCGAGTCCCCGACCAGTTGTCCCGTGCCCGGCGACCCCGGCTTGGATCGTCTCGCAGGCCTGGTGTCGGGTGAGGGGCCCGGTGGTCACTTCCTGGACCCCCAACCCCTCCCGGTCAGGTATCTTCTGTCGGCAGCAGCGAGGTCTAGAGAGGGGAGGGGGAGCGAAGGAGGACTGAACAAACAGCTCGTTCACGCACCGTAACTTGAACAGCCCATCTGCCGTCGGGACGAGCAACGGATCGACAACCGGCAACGGCATCAGATACACGGTCTACAGCGGCTGGATGAAAGTTATCAGAGTCCTGGACCTGGTTCCCAGCAAGTACTTATCCTTCATCCCAGCAACAGTCAGCCTGCAGCTCCGGGGAGCTCAACTGATGTTTTACCGCTTCAACCCCTCCGCCGCACTGCTTTGAGTTCAGCACGACCGAGAGCACGACCTTCTACTGGAAGAGTTCCTCATCACACTGCAAACGCCCTAAATGTTGACAAGTATGCACATTATATTCGCTTTTCACATTCACAATAACCAATGCAGTCATCCAGAGGTACATGCGATATCAAATGAGAAAACTGCTCGCGTACAAAACCGCCACTAAACATCAGCTTCTGATTTGGCAGGGGGAAATGTGAAACAAACTGCGTTACAGCAGGCCTCACCCTTGTCACAGCTTGGCAATAACAGTTTTCAATTCAAATGTTGTCATGTTACAGTCCTAACTATCTTCACACTCTAGTAGCTAATGATTCAGCCAGCCACCGACAGTGGCAATACTGCACGGGAAAAACAATGAACAACATTGGTAGAGTAAATGTTATGTGGTTAGTTGAGGCAATCTACCTACTGTTTATAAAGAAAAGGGTATGAGTATACAGTTCCTTTCTACCAAGCTGTGCAGGGAAAACGTGCATGGCACTGGAATGATTTACTTATTTCTGAGGGTGGCCAGCATGTATTGCACAGATTATTTATGCCCATGTTTCTCAGTCATCATGGTACAACTGACCAAGAGGATGCTTCAACTGAATTGTTTGCCTTCAGTTCAAATCCAGTAACACCAGCTGCAACCAAATCTTGGCTCCAAATAAGCAAAAATCTGCTTCATCAGATTATGTAACCAGACATGCCACAGTCCTCCATCTAATGCCAGCCACAGATGCAGCTTTCATCCTTCTGGTCACTCAGTAGGGCACATTGGCAAACAGGTAAGAGACAGACTCGCCATTGTGGGTTCTTCTCAGGGCCTCTGCAAATATCATGGCCACATCAATGCACCTGATCTTATCACACTGGATCATGTGCTCATCCTGAGGGATGGTGTTGGTGGCGACCACAGCCTCAAAGCAGGCTCCGTTGATCCGAGCAATGGCTGGACCTGAGAAAATACCATGAGTCAGGATAGCATAAACCTTGGTTGCTCCAGCTTCCTTCAGCTTGTCTGCTGCCTTGACTATGGTCCCACAGGTGTCAGCCATGTCGTCGACCAGGATCGCCACTCGGTCTGTGACGTTGCCCACTAGCACCATGTCAGAAACCTCATTGGCTTTCTTCCTCTCCTTGTGGATAAGAGCAAAATCCACTTTCAGACTGTCAGCTATAGATGTAACCCTCTTTGCACCTCCAGCATCTGGTGAAACAATGATGCTGGTCTTCCACTCACTGATGTTTTCTTTGATCCACTTCAGGACTGCTGGCTCGGCGTACAGGTTGTCCACCGGCAAATCAAAGAAGCCCTGAATCTGAGAGGCGTGCAAGTCCATGGTGATAATGTGATCCATCCCAGCAGCAGTCAGCATGTTGGCCACCAGCTTGGCTGACACAGGAGCTCTCGACTTGTCCTTCTTGTCCTGCCTTGCATAAGGGAAGCAAGGCACCACAGCAGTCACACGAGCAGCCGAGGCAATTTTGCATGCGTTTATCATGATCAAAAGCTCCATCAGGTTGTCGTTGATCTCACCGCACCCACTCTGAACTATGTAGACATCTTCCCCACGCACAGACTCTCCAATTTCTACACATGTCTCCAGGTTGCTGAACTTCTTGGTGACCACGCGTCCCAGGTCGATACCCAAACGATCGACCACCTTGGCAGCAAAATCGGGGTGGGAACTCCCAGAAAATACCTTGATGTTCGGCATCCTGCGTTCTTGTTGTGTCGAAGACTCAATCTTTGTATGAAGTAAGCTCGACCTCGACAGGCGGCGTCCCTTCCTCAGTCACGTGCCCCGGGCGCAGAGGAACCACACGAGCTCCTGCGGGGGCGCGCTGCGAAAATGAACGTAAACAAACGGCGAGCCTCGCTGATCGAAGTGGCGCACTTTCAGCTCATGATCTTTATATGGCGCACTACTTTCAAGGAAGGTAGAAATGAAATCCTTTGTAAATCAGTTCTGCACACAGCAAAAATACATTCAAGCGATGACGTTTTATTTTGTTTTCATTGAGTTTTGTGGGGAAATCTATCTTTGGTAATCTTGGAGAAATCTTGAGATATATTCTAAAGATAAACAATTTAATTTACAATGCAAAGGTTTTGAAAGGTAGGGTAGGGTGATCATGCACGCCGCACGGGAAACTCGATTCTTTGACGGTATATGACGTCAATGTAAAAGGCCTATTTTTAGAGCTGCCGTATTTCAGTAAAAGCAGCTCGTTTTCGAATGCTTCAAACTTCAAAGAATAAAGATTCTTCAAGATAAGGAGCTGAGCTGAGGAAATCAGTTCCGAAAATGCCTACAAGTTGTGTTGCAATTGACTGTTGGCTGACCCAAAATCCCTTAGGATACATAAGTGCTTTTAAATTCACCTAAGGGGGTCCAATTTCCAGCTTCTGGGGCGCCAGATGACTCAGTGGTGGCCTTAGACGTCCTCCCATAAGGTGGCATATTTTGTATTAGGTGCCATTCTGTGGACACCTGAGTCCTAGGCCAGTCCTATTACGATCAAAGCCGAAGGGAGCTACGTGCGGCCGCAAACTAGCTCGTTTGTTGTGTGCCTCTGGCACCTCGGCACATCCGGCTTCAAGCAAAAGAAAGGAAGTGTAACATATTTACATATATTGTATTTCTCGGGTACTGGACATACGCGTGGACGAAATTATTAAATAAGGAAACAGTAATACGAAAGGTCAAGTAGCACACACGTCCCCGGCCCAGTCGCAGCGGCCAGCTCTGAGAATTGATCGAGAGGTGCACAGAAACTCGACATATCACCGGACACGACCGGACAACAGGCGCGAGCAGCACACGCTCCCTAGCAACTGAATACTGGGTCACCGGCGGCAGAGCCGGCCGTGAGATCACGCAGCGTCGCCAGCCGCACCAGGAACTCAACAGAACAGTGTACAGGGCCAGCAGTAGCTGCCCCGCCCCGCCCGCCGCGCGGACCGCGACAGCCCCCACCCCGTGAGCACGCGGGGGCCTCCTCTGACGCCGCAGGGCCACACACGACCCCTCCAAGACACAGGTGCAGACAGGTACTGAGGTATCCGCCCGCTGTCCATGTGGACTCGAACGGGCATCCAAACCGGAGGTCCAAGCCGACCGTCGCCGATCGCCCTGGTGACTAGACGCGACAGCAGAGCCTGGTCGCCACGCCGGTAGATGGCAGCAGCGAGCAAACTCCACCGCGCTACCCACTCTGTAGCCCCGGGGGCCCAGGGTTCGCCCCGTGACTGGAGCACGCCGCCGCCGGACTCTGTCCTCGGCACGCGCTCAGGTCCCGGGAACACGCACAGTGACACGGCAGACACACTCTCAGTACTCGCACACAGGAGACGCCAGGCGCCCCACCGCCGCTCCCATTCTCTTTGGTCCGCTCTATGTTATGCACTACTTTGACTCACACCAAACAACCCAGACGCGTCAGCGACGCCTTACACGCGCGAATATTGCAGAGTCGCGTATGGACGAGCACTGGCGCTCGCAGCGCCGCCAAGCGCCGCTGCCACGAACTACAGCCGCGCGTTTCCGCCGCCGGTGGCGCTGGCGGCGGCGCGGCGGCCGTTAGAAGCTCTGCGCGACGTGACGAAGCGCCGATGACGACGGCGCGGTGTGCGTGATGAAGTAGATGAGACGGGTGGGCAGCACTCCGGCGTTCAGCTGGTAAAACTCCACCAGCTGGATGAGGTCGTAGAAGCGCGTCTTGCCGCCGTCCAGCGAGAAATAGCACGTGACTGGCGACTGACTGGTATCCTTTACCTGCGGGGGAAGAAAGTAGTTAGCTCACCAGAGTATTTTAATACACGTATGATGCCTATCAACGATAGCTCGGCCGGTAAGATATCGGCCGAGGAAAAATTAACAGTAGAAGCTGTCGGAAGACAACGGTTAATCATCGCAAATTCCGAGCCCCTTTCACAATAATCCGTGATCTACGCCAACAATCGTCACCAGAACCCAGCCAAAGTCCACTGACATCGAGCCAGCTCTGCTCCTCCCCTCCAGAGCCTTCCTGGGCCTTTCACAACTGCTACCAACTGGATGCACGTCCGTCGCTCATTCATTATGCCTAGTTCATGAGCGTCACTATTTCCTTTGAAATGTGAGCTCAGGGCTCAAAAAAAGCTCCGTCCTGCCGATGAGGTCGGCGACCACGAATGCTATAACATTTCCCAGTGGTGCGACCAAAAACGCGAAATATCAAACAAATTTTCGAAGAATATCTTTAAAAACTATATAAATATTGTTAAGAATATTGCCATAACTTCAGCATCACTTATGCGCATCATTAAGTCATTGGTCACCATGGTTACTTCCACGGTACAACCTGGACACTGGACGGTGAGCAAACATACCACTGTTGTAGGATAAACTACCACCTTCCGTACACGGGAATACTACCACGTTTCCCCATCGGCGCTCGTCGGCGTTTTCTGTGCGACCACCCGTGTTAAACCAATGGGGAAGAGCGGTTGTCAAAATCGCCGACGAGCGCCGTTCATTGGTCGCCCAGATGGTCTCCTACTACGCAGTAGGTACGCGGCGTAACGTATTACGGGATGGGACGCTCACCCACCGCGCCGGCCCGGCCGGCCGGCCGCCAGCTGACTGCCACCGTGGGGGAAGGGACGCCGAGGGGGAGGGGTGGCGTCCGTCGGGTCAGCCAGGGGAGGAGTAGGGATTCGGGCACAAAATTTCACTCTCGTTTGTTATGGTGTATTTAAGCTGCGTTCGGACAGCCCGGTCACTGCGTGGAACTTCCACGCCGAGGAATTCCTCACGCAAACGCGTTCAGTCAGCGCGAAACACTATGGCCAAGCGGCCGAAAGGCGATCGTTTCCGTGAGGAGCTCATCGGCGTAGAAACTCCACGTGGAAACCGGGCTGTCCGAACGCAGCGTTAGCGATCAAACCACTGCTTTTAATTCATGTTGTAATTGCAGATTCGTGTACATTGGTGGCGCTTGATACGTGCTACGGTGCTGGGAATAGCAGCATTAGAAGTTAATTGGTTTAAAAAACGTTCCATTGCCTGTGCGACAACCAAAGAGCTATGGGCAGAGTACCTACTGGGCAGCCGGTGCTGCGACCACAATCTGAATAAAACTTTTGGTCGGCGACCACCAAACAGCTTTTTTGAGCCCTGTGTGAGCTGCCGACCAGCCGTCCCAGATTAAGCCAGACTCGACACACCCCTTTGATAGCACCGTGATGACGCCATTGGGTAGGCGGGATACTAATTAACCATGGCGTGGTACAGTGCACCGACATAATAATAACACGAGGGCAATCCCCAACTACCCTGACACGTCCCAGGAGGCCATCTCTGACAAACAGTGATAACATTTAAATGATAGAAGACAGCCTCAGCCAAGCGAGCTGCGGACAACGGTACCGATCAAACGAACGAAAACATCTAAAAAAATTCGGGGAGACTGCGTCACAAAAAGTAGCAGACTTCCTTTCTCTTCCAATGGGTCTAATAGTTGCCCATGAATCTCACAAGTAAGAGCGGTCTGACGCGATGGAACTAAAGCCACTCACCGGCATTATTTGCGCGTGGTACAGCTTCATCCGGAAGATGAACGAGAGGACGAAGGCCACGGGGTTGCTGCGGCTCTCTCTGACCAGGAACACTCTGTCGAACAAACGGGACGGCAGGGTCAGTGCGAGGTCAAACACACAAAGCGATAAGTGTGAAGAAGTTGTACCAGATCGAGCGGTCAGCACAGCCGGTACGAAGACAACGGTAAATCTCATTCAAGACATGGCACGAATTAAACAGAGTGCACACATGCAAAAAAAAAAAATGTGAAGAGGTGACGGGGTCAAAGGCCCAAAAATAGCATACAACGTGGTTCCTTCTAATTTCAGCATTCCGGTGCCACACTATCATACTAACCAAAATAAACACGATATAAAAGCTGACCGACGGAGTGACTTCTTAGACATCTACATTCAGCCAAAAATAGCATATAACGAGCCCATCCGAGAGTCACTATCTCCGGCAAAAATGATCTCCACAATGATGTCGTTGTTTGTAAAAACGCTCTTGCAGTGCTACATAAAGATCAAGAGATACGCCACCCCATGTCCTACCAAACACATTGAGCAACAGGGGCGTGTGTACATCTAACGAGCGCTTTCATGCCGCCCAGCTGGCGGGGAAGTCACAGGGCGCAGCCGTTTATACAAACGAGCCTCCTCGTTACCGTCCATAGCCGGCGCCGCCCACCGGCGCGGCGCGTGACCTTTGTGACCCGGCCGGGTCGCCACCCCGGCCGCCCCCGCGGTGGCGCAATGGCCGCCGTCCAAACACCGGCCGGGGGGCGCCGCCGGGGGGGGGGGAGTTCCAGGAAGCCGCTCCGCCCCCTGACCTGGCCGTGACGGGAGGCCGCACGGAATGCCACCGGGATGGCACGCCCTTCACCAGAGCAGGGGCCTGGGTCGTGATCGTCACGTGCGCATCTCAGCGGGCTACAGCAAACAAACATGACCAAGTGGGCGTGTCCGCTAATAATTCTCATGGGTTCGCCATTTGTCATTTAATTAATTCTCGTCTTATCTCAAGAAATTTCGATTAATAGTCATGCCCATACTTCTATAATGGTAAAAACTTCACTGATTCGGATAAAAGTGTTAGCCTCATAGCCAATGATGGCTTGAGTCTTGATATCATTATCGCCCTAAAACTCCGGCTGCTATCATCCCTGGGACGGTCTAAGTTCTAACTCCTCACATCCCTCATTACTAACCCGTCACGGCCGTACTATTTCCTCCACCGTATGTACACCTCTCCCACTGCCCTCCGTACTAACCCTTCTCGGCAGCACTATTCGGTCCCTCCCCCAGTCCGCCGTACTAAACCCCTCACAGCACTCTGTACTAACCCGTCTCGGCGGTACTATTCTCTCACGGTCCGCCATACTAAACCCCTCACAGCCCTCCGTACTAACCCGTCTCGGCCGTAATATTCTCTCCCTCAGTCCGTCATACAACCCTCCCAGCCCCTCGAACTAACCCGTCTGGGCTGCCCTCACAGCTCTCCGACGTCCGTACTTACCCGTCTCGGCCGTTGTGTTTGTGCAGCATTGCGATGCCTCGTCCCTGGTCAGGTTGCCATGGTACCACGGCTGTGTGTTGTGTATCGCTCCTTCAATGTCTCGCGCAGACGCGCCCGCCGCCAGTTCTGTGAAACAAAGAACGGGTGGGTTAGTCCAGTCGCGCAGTTCATTGCCAGAAGCCAGATTTGAAAAGTTGGGCCACAAGGCACCAAGGATTGAAGTAAGCCAGGCATGTTGATCTGGAAAACTTGTACACTGCTCTCATCATTCAGATGACAGTCATTGCTCTGACCTACGAGACATCACCAACTCGTAAAAACGACAAGTGAGATAGAACTCTCGAGCCAATCAAATGTCTCAAATGTCGTTATACTACATCCCTCGATCAACCCACCCAGCCATTGTTTGTTTTCGCCGGGCCCCCAACAAAATCGCCAGACGGCTGTCACGGAGCCACCCGGCCCCGGCGCCCTAGTCATACAGACGC